ACACACACACACACACACACACACACACACACACACACACACACACATCTCCTCCTTTCATCTGCTCTGTTCAGTATGCAAGGGTCCTGCTGTAACTAATCAAGCGAGTAATGGCCCGTGTAAGAACCAGCAGAGCGCTGAATCCTGACGGGATGGAGGGGACGAGGAGCGATGGAGGTGGAGAGGGAGTACGGTGAGACCGAGAAACCATCTTCGGACTCATCTGCCGGTAAAAAGAGATCAATGCAGTGCCTGCAGTGTACTGTACGCGCCGCAGTGAGGAGGTGCGTTGGGAGGAAGTCAATGAAAGAAATGATGTGTGAAGAGCAGCAAAGACGCAGAGGAAGCGACAGGAGTGTACAAGGGTTGGATTATGAGTCAACACCTTGCCTCCACCTGAGCGGCATACACATTAAGGTCCATTTCTCAAATGGACTATTTACCAAATGGGCCTTGGCAGAGTTCATTTCTCTGAGTAGTCTCTTGTGCTTCACTCAGACAAAAGTGAACATTGGTTGTTTTTTTGTCCCTCTGTTTGCTTCAAAACACATTTCACTTCCACCTACACTCTCTTTTATTTGTCTCTGATGTCCCTCTTTACCATCCATCTCCGCTTCTCTGGAGATAAAGTGATGGAGGGAGAAATAGTTACTGCAACAGGGGAGAAATTGGTTGCATTTCATTTCCATTATCCCTGCTCCACTTTCCCAGAAAGCCCAATACATAAATCAGGTCGATCATATCTTAGCAACTGATGCGCTATTTTTAGTTTCGTGTTTACATGTGAAGCATGTTCTTCAGCGATAAAATGCTTTGAAATAATCGCCTGAGCAGCGAGTACAAGGTGAAAGAACACAGAGGCGTGTGTCTGTTTGTGTATGCATGGCATTCAGCCGCAAGTGTGGCATGTAATTGTTTCAAAGCGGAGCGAGACCAAAGTGGAACATGCAACTTTAGAACATAAATTTACAAGCAGAATTGCACGCACTGAGTTAATGCGTGGAAATATATGCAAATACATTATTTGACAGAGATGCATTTTCATGCAGAGAATACAAAAAAAACCAACTCATCACTTTAGCAATAGATGAAATAAAACTTCACATACATTTTGGGGTGTTGATTTCATGACTACGCAGCTAAATTATTAAGAGAAAAAAGGCAGATCCCACACTTTAGAGTTCCTTTTCTCCTGTTTTCTCTGGAAAAAGTGGAAATGAAAGAAAGTGCAGTGTTTGATCTTCATGAGCTTTTCTTTTGTCACGCTATGGAGAGGGGAAACATGAAGGAATCTCTCTGTGAAAACAGCGTAATAGTCAACAGAGGCCTCACATTTTACTTCAGGGGACTTTTCAGGTGACTGCTGCTACAGTCTTAAGGTGTTAACTAGAACCATAAACGGTTCTTTGGCTTGCAATCAAAGGAGGACCTTTTTTGTTCCTGGTAGAACCTTTCAGAGGGTTTTACCTAGAATCTAACAAAGGGTAACACCTAGAACCATCTGTGAAAGGTTCCAACCAGAACCCCCTCATGCGAAGTTCTACAGAGAACCCTTCTATGATGTAATGTTTCCACCTAGAAACTTCTCTGGAGGCTCTAACCAGAACATTTCCACCTTCTAAGGGTGCTATCAAGAACCCACCCACGGGGTTCCACCAAGAACCCTTTTATATTCCAAGGGATTAACCTAGAACCACCCATGGGATTCTACTAAGAACCCTTTTATATTCCAAGGGTTTCATCTAGAACCCCAAAAAACTGGGGGCTGATGTGGTGCACCAACCCACAACAATCATGGTTCACATTCACATTTTGAGGGTGTGTGAGTGGATGTTCTCTTTAAACAGCCATGCTTTCAACAATCTTTCAAGAACTCTTTCTTCAAAACGGGGTCCTTTGGATGAAAAGGGTCCTTAACGGAACCCTTTTTCTTTAAAAGAACCCTTGAAAAACCCTTTCTTCAAAAAAAGGGTTCTTCCGAAGCAAATGGTTCTGGGTAGAACCTCAACTCTTCATGAAGGACCCGTTTGGAACCCTACTTTCTAAGCGTGTACACTCTGGTGTCCAGTTTGATAACCACAAGTTTAGTGTTACAAGGACACACTTAGTCAGCTCCATCCTTCATTTGAGAAAGCATAAGGTGCAGTGTCTGCAGCGGTAATAATGCACAACAGATGAAGGACAGACTGCTGCTGCCACGTCTGTGCTGTAGAGAGTTATGTTGGTAACCTCCTAAAGAGAGAGCTTCAAGAAAACTCACACACTTGCAGGCTCTTAAAATGTTACATTGGCAGATGGTTTTGTACAAAGGGACTCACTTTCTTTTACATTCACGAACTCTGGGAACAATTTGGGGTTCAGTGTCTTGCTCAAGGACATTTCGACAGGAATCAAACCAACAACCTGCTCTACTAATGATCACTGTCTTTTATCCTCAAGAAGACAAGATGTGCCAAAATGCTGCTAAATGAAAGAAATATGAAATGATTGCATAGGAGCGTGTGTGGCTTTCTTCGTCCTCTTAAACTTACCGTTGAACTGGGTGTATTGGTGCCATATCCGGAAGAAGGCAGCGAAGCCAAGGACCATCTACGACCATCAGCCCTGAGGAGAAAACATATAAAAGTGGAAAAGGGATGAACTCCAATATCGGTTTCTATTTTAGTCCCGCCAAACAACACAGTTATACTAAAGCAATCCCACCACCTTCACTTCCTTTCTATCCAATTACACTTTTGTTCCCTTTTATTCCTCTCTCCCCTCCGGCCTCCTCCAGCCACGTCTGACACTTCATCTGAGTGAGTGATGAGGGACACACATTTGGGCAAAATTCTGGCACCTCGCCTCATTCATCTGGGTCTGCTGTCAGCCCTCTGTCACACGGACACTTTTGTGTTTGTGTGTGTGTGTGAGAGTGGGTGTGTTCCCTGAAGAGTTTTTTCTGTGTGTGTGAGGGTAAAAATAATCCTATATACCAATTTCCCTCAGCTACTTCGCGCTGCTCTTGTACCGTTGCATGTGTGACTTATTGTGTGAATAAAGGAGGGATGGCAACCTGCGAGAGGAGGCGAAGGAAAAGTGGGCAGGTCCACTTGGTGAGAAGTTGCGCGGGCTGTCCAACGGACTGCTTCCTGTTGAAATACATATGGACAGAGCAGAGCAGAAAACATACACTGTGGGTTATCGGGCAGGATAATAAGCCAAAAGTCATTTTATCAAGAATATAAGGGTGGGCCCTCAAATTTTCATCTTTGTACACTGAGTCTCTACCAGAGACACTGAAAACTAGTACAGTAACAGTGTATTTGTCCTACACAATTAAATTACTCTAGTTGCCTAGTTTTGGAGATATCAGCCGTAGAGATACATAATGGGACGATATGGCATCTGGCTTGTGGTGGTCAAAGCACCAAATAAATAAGTAATAAAAAAACTCTACAGCAATGTCTCTTTCCAGAAATCATGACCCGGTTACTTAAGATAATCCACATTGTTGTGAGCAGAAACAACAAATGTAGATTTTGGGGTGAACTGTCCCTTCAAAGAGCAACTTAACAGCAGCTGAAAATCTTTCAGCTTCTTGCTGACCTCTACTGCAGTGGTGCCAAAACATTTTTAAAAACACAGCACCTCTCCGTAGTGATTCTTTTGTCTCAGACTGCATTTGTCAGAGCTCTGTTTACAACGAGAAACCTGTCCATTGCTTGCTGTGATTGTCTGTACTTGTCATTGCTGTGCACCTTGAACACTCGCATGCCACAAAGCGTACTGCGTTACTATGAAAACTGCCGACTGTGAGCTGAGACTCCGCCGTTTGCTGCTTGTTTTTTTTTTTCAGTTTGCAGCAAACAACTATTTGCTATGTAAAGACATAGTGGAGTAATGTCTACCTGAGCAGAGAATGAAGTCACTCTTCCTCGCTGTGTGCTGTAACCTCAGTTTCTCTGCTCATTGTTTACACAGCTGGTCGTCCGCTTGCATATTCGTGCATGTGAGTCTCTCTATAGTGCCCCCTGGTTAGCTCATAACCGCCGCTCTGCACTGTGCACTTACAGCGCTTAACGCTGATAATCCCGACCCACGGCGTCGTTGTAGAAACATAAATTCTCCCCTTGTTACACTGATGTCACAGTGTACTGACACAACCTGGGGTACACTTCTATATCACTGCAGCAAGGTTAGCATTTAAATAATTGGAGGAGATTTCAAGTTGACCGTATAATCGTTTTCTTTACTTTTTTTCTTCTTTTTTTTAAAGATACAGATTCAACCAAGAATATCAAGATTTTACGTAAAGAAGAGTTGTTTAAACCTACACTGACAACTACAATCCTTAGTTAATTCTGTACTCTTTAGACAAGTAAAATTCTGAAAGTCAAAAATCCTGCAATAGAAAGTGAAGAAAACATGTATTACAGCACGCAGCACAGGGTTAGGGTTAAACTGCTGCAAATGCTTCTTTTCAAGTCTGCTTTCTTTTAGCTTTTATGCATTTGTTTTTAAGAATTTAATATCAATTCCTTTTTTAACCTAAATCAATAAACATCTCGTAAAAAAAACAAACAGAATATAATGGGCCTAATATACTGTTCAATCTTGCAGTGTATCATGTCAACCTTTACACACTGACCTATGTGTCCAGGCAGTGGAGAGTGCGGCCGTGGCAGGGTGGGTGACGTGCTGGTCAGGATGAGGCTTTTCCTGTTACTGGTTCTGCAACTTCAACATAAACAAGAACAAAGAGCACGCCAATACTTGTCTTCATTAAATTCTCCTGTCAGATGATATCTGACACACACACACACACACACACACACACACACACACACACACACACAAACCACTGAGTGACCCCCAGGTTAATAAAGACACTGAGGCTGTTTGGCTTTGAGTCTGTTTGCTTACTTGTCACCTTGAGTAAATGTATAGCTACAGTAGAGTATGTGTGTATGCTTTTATATCTTGAGTACAGTATGTCTCCTGTGTGTGTGTGTGTGTGTGCATGTGGCAGGGCATAATACAGGACTTTATTGATGTCCGCCCACCCGCAGGGGAGAGCAACAAAGCAACAAGGATTTTTTTTTAAATTTCCTCTCGGTCCAGCCGGAATGACGGCAGCTGCCATGAAATATAATGGCAGGAGTGATGAGGCGACGGAGGGATGGAGAGACAGACGGAGAGGAAGAAAAGGACCAGGGAGGGCAGGTACGGACCATAATGAAGGCCTGAAATCATTGAACCACAAAGGCTTCAACCACCACTGCTGCTCCTGCTGCCACCGCTGGATGTGTTGTGGAGCGATTTCACAAAGGCGAGATGCACGCGGTTTATTGTCTTACACAACAGCTCGTAAAGCGGGATGTTTCAGGTGTTGCTTTTCATGTGCGGATTGCTGTTTTTTGCTCACAGGCCTTTTCGTGCTCGTCTGTGTGATTCACCGGAGTGCCTGTCAGAGCAGATTTCACAGAGCAGGACCACAACTGACGAGCAACACCAGCTTGATCTGTGTTGCATCAGCCAGCACGCTGCTCTACCTCTGTGCAGGAAGTGCTGTAGTGTAGACCACAGACTCACAAAAGCACGTTGGGTTATTTGATGTATTGTCCCTCGATCAATAATCTATATCCTCCCACATCCTCCCCTCACCTCTCCTTCTTTTTGATGCGAGTCTCCAGCAGTCGTTTCTACATCAAAACCCCATGGCAGGATTTTATCGGTGGCAGTGCGTCTCTGCGGGCGCCAGCTGAGGGAGTGTTTGTGTTCTACCTCGCAGAACAGAGGTGGAACATATTGAAATATTGAAGGGAAATGCATTAGCTTTTGGATGGAGGGCTGGAAGTGGCTTAACACCATCCTCCGCTACAGCTCTCGGGGAGAGGAGAAGGGGGGAAGGGTGCGGGAGGAACAAAAGGTTGAGACAAAAAAAAGTAAAGAGACAGTATATTCCTCTGATTTCCTTTTTGTGTCATATTTTTTGCAGCCACATTTTCATCACCACGCGTCCTCAATCAAAAGCTGAATCACTTGAGCATACACTAGTCGAGCTTCACTCCAGCACATATTCTTAGCTTTTGATTCATGATTCATCACATCTACAGCAGCTCGACTCCACCGGTGATTCACTTTTAGGTGGAGTGTCTATAATGTTTCAAAGCGCACATTACAGCGCAAGGGATTTAATCCTACCTGCCTAGTTTCTGTGACTTTTTCCTGCTTATTATTTTCATTCTCAATGTATCTCCATTGTTTGATAGCTCCTCACTCATCCATTTCTCCTTCATGTCTTTTAATTTTTCCCGCTTTGTTCTCTTTCTGCTTTTATCCTTCCTGGAAATTAACTCTCCAAATAATGAATAATTGAAACTCGTTCTTCCGCTCTAACTCCCCTTTTTAGGGTAATAGAGTCGATTAAACTATTAAAATACAATAACAGAATGAAAACCCACTCGGGCAAAGCAATCTAATCTTCCCACAAAGCCAGAAGTCTCTTGCAGCGACTGTGTTTTATAACACTGTTATCTTAAATGAATGCTGTAAAAGGGCATCTTGCCCAAAGCATTTTGCAATGTAAAAAAGAAAAAGGTTAAATAGGAGTGCTGCTCCTTACTCTATACTCCAGTAGCCAGCCACATATTCATCACCAGCAATATATATATATATATATATATATATATATATATATATATATATATACAGTATATATGTACATATATATACACATATATGTACATACAAATATGTATATACATATATACACACATACAGTATATGTACACACATATATAGATATATACACATATATATACATACATATATACATACATACACACATATATAGATAAACACACATGTACACGTATTCATACAAATACATACATACATACAAACATATATACATATGTATGTGCATACAAACATAAATATATATACATACATATGCAGCTACGTTACAATATAACAACATAACACATATAAAGAACTATTATCTTAGAAACTGGCAATACTTTTTTATAATTTGTCCGTATAACTCTTAGAATAAAGAGTGAAATCATCAGAAAGGCAGGGCAACATTTTAAGGAGGAGTTCCCATTAATCCTTGCCCTGAAATCCCGGCCACATAATTAGCCATCACAGCGCTGGCAGTGAGTGAAGGTTACAGGACGGGAGCTATAGGTGGCTGTAAGGAATTATGACTAACATGCTGTAGATTCACTGGGCTGGAAAAGCAAAGAAGATAAGAGTTGGGAACGTGTATGTGTGTGTGTGTGTGTGTGTAAATGGGACTTTAAATCGCTCTGTCACGGTAATGGTCTTGCAGCCTGGGCTCATCCTGCCTCAATCTGGTTAAGAAGGTGTGTGTGCGTGTGTAGGTGTGTGCGTGTGTGTGTGTGTGTGCGTGTGTGTGTGGAAGAGAAAGATAGAGACAGTTAGTATGCTGCACATTGCTGTCTTTGAATCATAAATCTGAAGCTGTCTCTAGTTTTCGCGGTCAAACACAAACACCTTGTCAGTTTACAGCCAAACAAGCCTGCACTACATCATTCACCGCCCTCCTCTGCTGTCAGCCAGCTGGTGATGTTTGGATTCATTCAGTCACCCACTTGCACATAAATGAATGTTGAACAGAAAGCCGAAGCTTTGCTGAAAACGAGCAATTCCTTTAAAATATTCAAACCCATTCAGATCCAATTAGGTTAATCAAGAACAAATTATTGCCCATCCATAATGAATTGACCCAAGAAGAATGAGAAGAAAGATGAAGAGGGACGAGGATGTGAGGGGGAATGTGAGTTACCGTGGCAACACATTTAGAGTCACACTCAAAAGAAGCAAACAGTGACATCTCCAACTGTTTCCCTTTTTTTTCCCATTTTCACCAGAGCTCACAATGAGACTCTGGTGTTAAACAAATGACATGATGAAGGTGAGCATCGGACTGCGTCAGCTCTGATCTGAGGCCAGTGATTCCACAAAACATGATCTCACCCTGCAGTCAACCACAACACCGTAAGTCAGTGTCTGTTGATTGCGGCCGAGTGTTTGAACGTGAATGCCAGTTTTATAATCCATCATAATCCATTGTGTAATCCATCATGCAGGCTCAATCTGTGAGTGTGACAGAGGAGCAGTGGCGAGGCGTGTGGTGCTGTCAGTCAGAGAGAGTATGATTCATTGGGGTCAATGGTGCATGCTGCTATTGTGTGGGCCTCTGTCGATGGACACCAGAGCTGATGATAAAGTGAAACAACTTTTAATATGTGAGAGAAACGTAGTGCGATAGTGTCCGCCGTGTGTTGGAGTCCGTCAAAAGGTGCAAATGAAATCTTTTTTTAGTTTTTTCTCCTTTTTTGTTTGTTTTTGCATTTAGCTGGTTCCAAGAAACACCTCCATGACAAACAGTGACAAGAGAGAGGACAAGAGGAACGAGGACGGTGAGAAACAAACAAACAAACCATTTTGGCTAGATTCTGTTTGTTCATCAACATAATGAGAAACGTTAATGTTACATCCACTAACTCTTCACTGCCAACACAGTTGGCAAATGTACCCTAATCAATGTGTGTCCAAAATGTTCAACGTCTTTCATCCTACAAAATCTGCTCCTAGCAACCACAGCATTATTATTTTTATGGTTATGTTTTGGCAATTCAAAGAAAAGCTTGTGAACATAAACATTCAACAAGTCTTTGCTGACTTGAAGCACAAGCTGAGAGGCTGTGATTGTTTAAAAATCACAATCTTTCCTCACAGCTGTGTACGTATAGCGTAACACTTTAGGCAGAGTTTTAGATTCTTCCAGCTGATTTTTTTGTTTTTTTTACTCAAAACCTCATCAACCCACCGTACACTACCGGCACTAACAGCAGACGGACACATTTAGAGACTAGCTGGTCAAGATAGCGGAGCATTTGGCAGCTAGGGAGCCTAATGTTTCCCTCAGGAGTTGGTGGAGACCAAAACAGAGCAAAAAGAGAATATCGGACTTCATCAGGTGACTGGAAACGACTCTAAATGAATGCGAAAGTTGCTCTAAATCTGATGGATGTGTAAATAAGCAAATGTTTGTTAATACATAAGCAATGACAACTAAACAATAAATAATAAAACCTTGTTATATAATATGTCAATGTCTAGTTTACAGTTTGTTCTGCTAGCCAAAAAAAAACCATTCATACTGCTTTAACCGCATGTTGTAGTAGCTTAAACTTAACAACACATGAGAAGAAGGACGTGCACCCAAGTCTCTTCTCTATGGCCCAGGCTGTAATTGCGATTCAAATGCAAATTGGTCGTACATGAAAGGTATTTTGTAGCAGACAGGGTTGCATGGTCACACACCGGTGTTTAGAGGATAACATAAAAAGACAATGTCAAAGGAAAACAACAGAGAAGCCACAAACACACAGATGTGACAGCCAACAACCCCTGTGTGCGTCTCCCTCCACCCAATAATATGAAACCCAAGCTGTCACTGGCTGCGACGCCCCGGTCACCCTGCTGGGGGGGGTCAAAGGTTAAATCTGTGGCAATGACTCGTGCAGAAGCTTTGACGAGCAATTATCGGCCTGCAGGCCGTCGGCTGGCACCAGGCCATTAGTCTCTCACACACGCGCACACACAACGCACATTGTTGATCCCCAAACACCCCAAAACTGTCCCAGACTGTCGACACGCATTACAGCAATAAAAGTAATGCAAACCATAAGACTTGGATACAG